AATAAATAGTCTATGGCAAATCAGAACATTGAGTCTAGAGCATATCTCTAACGGATACACTCATGTTTAACGAATCGCTCTTAGCTATCTGTCCAAAATCCACATGATTATTATTTTTCACGTAAAAATTTTTGATAACAATTCATATGTATTAGTTGTATTACTAAATTCTATCACGGTCAAGTACAAACGAGTTCGAGAAAATCTACCCATATCTAAATAAACCGTATCAAACTAACTGGAACACTAGTTGGAATTCTTCTCCGCGCTTATACTTTTGTTCTTTCAGTTAGCCTACTAATACAGATGCAATTGCAAATCAACGCATGGACAACTTACCGGCACATACGTTCTTTGATTTCATAATTAAGACCAAATATAATACCAGTTTTAACATTTCTACAATATTGATTGTTTTTAATATTTCTAAACGGGAAATGTTATTAACCTGTAGTGACCTGCTTTTGTCAACAGAACGCGATTGGTTCGATGAAAACAATTATTATTATAACCAATTGTACCAGTGATTGTTTTATTGTGCTCGTTTGTTTAACTGTGCTAGTAACAGCCATTTTGGTCTTCCATTGTATTCCATTGCTTCTACGCGGTTTTCGACTACGCACGTATCTTTTCTTGCCGATCGCACCTGTACTCCTTTGGCACGATCTCGGTATTCTTTCGATACCACGAGATTGCCAACAAATACAATACAACTACTACTATCATCTGCCTTCTGATTTTTGGCCTACCGGAATCTTATTGGTCTATTGGCACGTAGTCTGGTAGCGGTGTTCATAGTCAAGCTCAACTCGACACCATGCTACAAACCTACGGCTATTACTAACTATCTTACGGCGACTTATTTAAATATCCCTATACGGAGTCATCTCATTATAATTATAATCCCGCTTTGTTTAGCTAAAATAATCTCCGCCCAAATTTTCATTTTAAGCGTGTTAAGTATTAAACCAAAAACTTTAAAATAATTAGGTGTGTTTCCCGACCAGATGCTGCCGCCTTCTTTTTGATTTATCTTTCAGTTTATCAATATCCGGATGATTCTTATTATTCTTTCTAACCTCCGGCGCGAGACAATCACACACAATTTGGTATCGAACCAACGTCACGTTGATTCTGGTGGGAGAGTACTTTAGTGGCATTGGGCCCTACCACGAGACAATATGAGAAATAGACATTAAACATTTAACGCGGAGAAATACAGAAGAATGGAGAAGGCGGGAATAATAAATTGAATTAGTCCGAGTTCATCGGATGGCATGACTCGGCCTTGCAGGCGTGGTCCCAGCTGAATGTTATCTTGTATCTTCTATTCATATTAAATACATTCTATCTCTAGCCTAAGCTTGTTCTCTATCACGTATTGGTAATTGTCACAATGCAATGAGTTGGTGTAGACGATGCTGTAACTTCCACGCAAGATCTTATAGATTAGGCAGTTACATCATGATAAATCTACAATTTTAGGATTAGGTCTACTATTAGAGCAGTGCTAATATCATAGTAGACCATAATTCTAAAGGTATACTACGACGTTACTGGAAGGAGGAGGAAAGAACAAAAGAAGAGAAGCCGGACAGACAGTTCCCATGATTAGTGAATTTTAGTCACTTGTGATGGAATAATTAGGGTATGACTACTTAGAATTATGCCTTTTTACTAGGTCAGTGTTCTACGCAAATATATTTCAACAGGTTGAAGAAAACAATGCAAAGTTGGATATTAAAAGAACAAAGAATTGTATATATAGAGGTGATTCAAAAAACCTGAAAGTTTAGGATTGTGTATTTTGAAAATTTAATGAGGAAAGCACAATGTCCGGATACCATCACGACTGGAACTTAAGTTTACGATGACTATTATAATACTCAAATAATAAAGAACCACAATATATCTGATTAAACTAGCTCAACATCTGTTACAGTAAAGTCCAATACAATAATGGTGAATTCTTTGACGTTGGACGAGCTTATCCCAATACGCCCAAGTATCTATGATCTATATAAAAATGCGTATGACGATAAAAAGGTAATGTCCACCTTGGAGATTACTTACAAATATGCTATCTGATCCAATCAGTGTGTTCAGTTATCTCATTCAAACACAGTGTTTTAACAACATGGCTCTTATTCGCTTAATTCATGTTCGGTCTCATGGAAAGGTTTGCTTTTTTTAATATCACTTGGTCGTCCAGTAGGCTTTCTGTGATAAAAAAAGACAGCACAACCGGTCTGTAAGTGAAGGGTTTTTCCATTCGCTAAAAGTTTTGAAGTGATTGACATAGTTTCAATATTGTTTTGGCTAACCAGGCTCCAATAAGCATTTAAATTGACTAACACTTTTGAGGGTGTGAAATCAACTCAGTGCTTTGATTTAGCCAGTGAAGTGCATATTTACAACTGAAGAACATCCCAATCGATGTTGGCCCACCAGTAATTGAAGAGACAGCTCACAGACTCGTTCGAAGTAAAGACGGATGTCAGGAAAGGTTGCTTACTATCACCCTTTCTCTCTCTCCTAGTGGTCGACTGAATTATGAAGACGTCAACATCTAGGGGGAAGCATTGGATACAGTGGACAGCTAGCGACCCAGACTTCAAGATGATCTGGCTCTTCTATCGCACACGCAACAACAAATGCAGGAGAAGACAACCAGTGTAGCTGCAGCCTCAGCAGCAATAGGTCTCAATATACACAAAGAGAAAAGCAAGATTCTCCGATTCAACACAACATGCACGAATCCAATCACACTTGACGGAGAAGATTTGGAAGATGTAAAAACCTTTACATATTTGGGCAGCATCATTGATGAGTACAGTGGATCTGACGCAGATGTGAAGGCGCGGATCGGAAAAGCAAGAACAGCATATTTGCAACTGAAGAACATCTGGAACTCAAAACAACTGTCTACCAATCATCACCAAGGTCGGAATTTTCAATACAAATGTCAAGACAGTTCTACTGCACGGGGTGGAAACTTGGAGAACTGCAAAAGCCATCATCCAAAAGATACAGGTGTTTATTAATAGCTGTATACGCAAAATACTTCGGATCCGTCGACCAGACACTATCAGCAACAACCTACTGTGTGAGAGAACAAACCAGATCCCAGCGAAGGAAGAAATCAGGAAGAAGCGCTGGAAGTGGATCGGACACACATTGAGGAAAGCACCCAAGTGGGTCACAAGGCAAGCCCTCACTTGGAATCCTCAAGGCCAAAGGAAAATAGGAAGACCAAAGAACACGTTGCGCCAAGAAATGGAGACAGATATGAGAAGAATGCACAAGAAATGGATAGAACTAGAGATGAAGACCCAGGATAGAGTGGGTTGGAGGATGCTGGTCAGTGGACTATACTCCACTAAGTTTAACAGGCGTAAGTATTTAAGTAGGTGATTAGTATCGTGACAGTATTGTATCATAGAATGAGCGTGCTTTAATTGATGTATAAACAGGTTCCTATGCTGTAATTGGTTTACTTGTTCTGGTTCGACAGTTTATGACACTTAATTACACCGTCTTCCACTCTGCAATCATGTTAATATGTCGTTTATGATTCTGACCATTTCTGAATCTCATTTTGGTCTGGATTTCGAATTAAGTAGTAGGTGAGCCTACTCTTCGTTTGATTTTGAACGGGTTTGACTGTAACCTTCAAAAGACTTGTGCAAAAATTCGTAGAGTCCGAGAAAGGCATTGATATAGGTTTTAGGAATATCGTTTGATGCCATAGGGATTTGTTTATATGCTCTAACCAGATCGTTTTATGAGTAAACAGTTGTGCCTTATATGGTATCTGTCAAGTAAAATTGCAGCAAGAGGTGAGGAACGGTAGCAGTTTTCGTATTCGGTCGTCGACAATCACTAGTTAGACAATAATCCTTGTTGTCTTTATTAGGAACCAAATCCAAGGGAGATACACGCCGGGTGTTTGATGGCCGAATAAACTCAAAGTATATCATGTCGTCGAACTCTCGCATTCTTAGCAACATTTCTATTGCTGAGCCAAATTGCAGCTCGATATTGTGGGAGAATTGGTTTAAAATTTGTCGGTCGGTTAGGTCTTCACGTTTGAGAATAGTCTTTTGTAAGGTTTCGTAATGTTCCAAAACATCCCTAGTAAACATACTAGATGGGACCTACCTGATGGAGTCAGGCGCTAGTGCCTTCACTACATCAAGGAACTGTGTATGCGGGTCCATCACGCCGTACAAGTGAAAGTCTGCTTCTGTGTAACAGAACCAGGCTTCTATACTACCGAGTCAAAATAGCATTAGTTGAAATAAGGGAGGCGAAAGAGGTTTAGCTCTACGTTGCTTAGGAGTCTTTTCAGTCACGACGAATATATAATATAACAACGGGCAGAAAAAATATCCGAAAAAATAAAAAAAACACCACACTATGTCAGAATAAAAGTTGAAGATGATATGTAATGTTCCAACAAGGAACAGACTCACAGTTTGCTGTTTAATGCACCAAATTATGTCGGTCTCACCACTGAAGGTGTCACGGGTATTTGGAGTCTAACAACGCCTTGACACGTAAAGCCTTCATAATTAAAGTATGCCAGCCCATTCAAATCATAAATGAAGAAGTTCGAAAATATATTCGTAAGCTATCGATATATCGAGAGGCGTTTGGTCTAACCTGGCTATTAGTTGCAAGGGATGCGCAGTACGACGTACCCACTCGTGATCTGGTGTGAGTGCGTGACACAGCGCCTTCGGTTAGGTTATCCCAGTGAAAGTAATAAAGCGAACATCAATGTCGAATACATACAGAACTATCTGTTTTTGGGATGTATTTACAGCTAGACATACAAAATCACAAATAACTACAAAAATGAAGAGAATCGGTGGAGTCGAGTGGCTAGGGAACCAACCGTTTGACTTTATCAAGGATCTGAAAAGGTACCGAAACAACAAGAGGCAAAAACAAAGAAATCGGTCGTTTTATACGAACCAGTGAATTGGATATTGGACAGTGGGAATACCGCGTTCCTCGAAAGTGGCGTTGATTCTTTCTGTATGCTTCGTCTATAACAATTTCATTGTAGTCTACAGTATTTCTACTGTCCATTCAAAGTTTACTTGCAAAATTCAACTTTTTATGGGCCAAAATACGGAGTAAAATGGGATAACATGACGCACATATCATAGACGCTGTAATTCTACGGAACAGGTAAAATTGTGATTTGAAAGAAATGCCGTTGCGCGCAAAATAGTAAATTTGACATTATAGCAAACATCTTGCATGATTTCTGCATGTTTTATAAGTTTCCTTCAACTGTTGTTGATAGACGAAAATTTAAGTGAATATAGGGGGGGGGTTTCCTGAGCTGTTTAATTAAGTTTGTTCAGTATTCTTGACAGTGCACCATATTCCTTCAATCTAGCAGGTCGATACTTCACGGATGCTACAGTTTTATTGGTCACTGCTTTCCAAGTCACTGTCCGACTTCATAAATATCTGCATTATTTTGCTTTTTTGGTGTACCAGTGGTTTTGTTTCTCAGAAATTCCATAATTTGATAACAAAAGCTTTACACTAGCATATTGTGCAAGTATTCCGTGACATTCTCTCAATTTGTCAGGTGTATCCGTCTTATATTTTCGTTACTACAAATCAGTTCGCCACAATTCCTTGATATGTCTTTTTGCTTGTACCTAGTAGGAACGGTAATTACGTAATCACAATGCAGCCACCTTAATGGTTGATATGTTCCGCTTCTCGTCGGCTAAAAAATTACAGTGCGATCCATGTTCCAGCTATATAATATGCTATGTAAAGATTTGACTTAAGTCTAACTAATCAAAAAACTCGGTGGATGGAGGTGAATGTTATAATCACTGACAACAAACAGTGTTACATAGTATGCTGTAATATTGCATGCTCTATGCTAGTAATCCCTTAGCGACTAACCTACTACTCTGCAAAAGTTATTTGTATCAATACATAATTTATTTGATTCCTTGTGTTTTAAATGACAGTCGAATTACATTTAACTCTCCTCCCTTTTTTCAGGTTTTATATCTTATCATAATTAGAGAAGTGATATTTGTGTTGAGGAAAATGGATATTTATCGGGCTGTGAAAAATTATCTTAACAGAATGATTTCAGTAGCTGATGGTGGTATGAAAGTATTAATGCTTGATCAAGAAACATTGAAGATAGTCAGTGTAGTTTGTTCAATGTCTGAAATTATGAAATATGATGTTTATTTAATTGAACGTATTGATGCACCGCGTGAACCTTTGGAACATTTACGTTGTATATGTTTCTTAAGACCAACCAAAGAAAATATTAATTTGTTATTTAAAGAATTAAGAAAACCAAATTACTTTTCCTACCACTTATTTTTCAGTCATTCTATAACTAAACAATTACTGAAACAATTAGCAGAAGCTGATGAAAATGAATTAGTTGTAGAAGTCCAGGAGTACTACGCTGATTTCATCCCATTATCACCATTTTTATTTGAATTAGACATACCAATTAGTCTAAATGAAAGTAGAAATTTGAAAAATGGTGTGTTGAATCGATCAACCGATGGTTTAACATCCGTATTATTAGCTTTAAAAAAATGTCCAATTATACGCTACCAGAATGCTTCAGAGGTCGCACGTCAACTAGCTGAGTCTATACGGTCATTTATATCACGAGAGACTGTAATATTTGACTTTAAGCAATCAGAACATGTTCCTGTCCTGCTTATATTAGATAGGAGACAAGACACAGTTACACCGTTACTATCACAATGGACATATGAAGCTATGGTTCATGAGTTAATTGGTATTACACAGAATCGTGTCAGTTTATCTAGAGCGCCAAATATCAAGTCGGAATTAAAAGAGATTATTTTAAGTCGTGAATTTGATGAATTCTATCGAACTAATCAATTTTCCAATTTTGGTGATATTGGTCAATCAATTAAACAACTTGTAGAAAACTTTCAAAAAGCCTCTAAATCTGTGGATACCAAAAATTTAGAATCAATTGGTGATTTAAAACGATTTTTAGAAAATTTTCCTGCTTTTCGTAAAACATCCGGTACTGTCGATACACATGTTACATTGATGTCCGAATTGTCTAGAATTGTTAAAGAACATGCTTTGCTAGAAATAAGTGAAGTAGAACAAGAACTGGTATGTCGTGATAATCATTCTTCAATCTTATCACGTATTAAAAGTTTAATAAGTGATCCAAGGATTCTTCTCTCAGATGCCTTAAGATTAGTTCTTCTTTATGCTTTACGTTATAGCAAGCAAAAACAAGAATTAACTGGATTAATTCAATCACTTGTTACACGCGGCGCAACAGATGATGATATTCGAACTATTGACAATTTATTAGAGTATTCTTGGCCGATCTCCGTTTCCGATGGTTTCGACTTATTTCATGTCATGAAGACTGGAAGTGTCCACACAACAACAACGTCACTTGTTGATAGTCAAGCAGCTACAAAAGCGATGGCTTCATTAAAAAAACGTTTAGTTCAAGAATTAAAAGGTGTCAATAATGTTTATACACAACATGAACCATTGTTAGTCGAAATTTTGAATAAATTAATTAAAGGTCAGTTGCCTGATGCTTCATTTCCAAGTTTAGCTACTGGTGCTTGTTGGAAAACTATACCTAGTGGTCAACGTCCAAAAGAAATTATTGTCTTCTTCATTGGTGGTGTTACTTATGAAGAAGTTTGTAGTTTGCATAAAATCAATTGTTCCACACTGGGTGTCGACATTGTTTTAGGTGGTACATGTGTTCATAACTCAAGGACGTTTTTACAAGAAGTTTATTCAGTGACAAAAAGTGTCGGTATTGCAAAATCATCAAATTCTGTGGAACCAACTCGTCGTTTATATGGAAATTCAAGAAGTAACATCCTTTACGGATTATTACAATAAGTAATAGTAATACTAGTTATTATTGTTGTTCGAATTAAGTGCACATCTTATCTGTTGTCCAATTATCTGTGATAATCATTTCATTTTTTGTTGTCTTCTCTACCTTAACTTTTTCAATATTACATATTACGTCAGCAAACAATGGTTGTTTTTTTAACCAATTTTGTAGTAATATAAACATCAAATTTTGTTGAATATACGACAAATACTTTTACGATGATCTTATACACTCATTGTTTTGATGAAAATAATATATTCCAAAAACCCAAAGTTTCGGAAATGAAATAATTTACATTTGATGTGTTCCGCGTCTAATAGAGTAGAGACTAAGCACACCTACTCCATGATTACCGCGAGTGTACTGTGACAGCGTTTTACGAGTCAGTTAGTTAGTCATAGGTAGCGTAGAACCTAGCGTAAATGTGTATTTGCTCAAGTTGGTACACTGTCAGCACAGCGGAATGAAATTACTTCGTGTATGTTTTACAGTAGCCTTGTGGATGTTTTCATTGACATAGTGTTTATTAACTGATCATTAAATTTGTTTAAAATCACTAAATAGTTGAACATACTTAGTTTAACCAGGATGCGATATCGGGAGATGTGTTTCTGGAAAGTCGATAAGCCTTCATTGAAACAGTCTTCCCTGCTATTACTTTGGGTTATGTGAATTACAGTGGTTCATGTTTCCAAGTATAAGGAGTAGAACCACACACAACAGAGGCATCACGAATATAACAATTGAGATATAACATCTGAAAATATCTCTGAATTTTTTCGTAGTGTTAGACTGATGTTTACTCAGTGATGACAAGATCGGGAGTATTCATACCATTCTGTTTGAAGCGCACTTGATGAATGTTTCTGGATCCAAACGTCGGTATCAAGAATAAGACTCACGTTTCGTTCCCGTCCTTTAAAAATCGTTAACAAATAGTTAACGACCATTGTGCTAGGTCTAAATAACTGATATTTAATGTCAGAAAACATGGCTCGATTCAATAAATTAAACTTCAGTCCTATATAAAGGACGTTTTGTTTGACATTATTACATTGAACTAGGAAGTTAGTAGTTTCTTAAATCTAATCGCTATCGAATATATGATCATCGTCTAGCCCTTGGTTTAAGGTTCGATGGTCTGTGTGAGGTTTCTGACGAACTACTGAGGGAATCAAATTCAAGAAGAAACATCCATCAAGTACTCCTCTATTTCCTATAGTTTCTTGACTGAAAACGATTTATAATGGAACGTGTTCAAAAGATGGATAAGTTAAGAAGCGGCAGCCATCTTGTTTCTGATAGGAAAACAAAAATTAAGTTCGATCAGGCATTTGGTTACAATTAAATGATATACTTTTTAACTTTAGTCGATTTTTCATAAAAGCTTGGTTGACATGCCATATTAATGGTATGTTTATATACTTAGTACCAGTTTTACCGGCTGACTTCAGTAATCATAATTTTCATGGTCATATTCAAAGGTAATCGTCTCTGAGCCATTCAGGAGTAAATAATTATTTATTTATGGTTCGTATTGTAAACTGATCGTAGTAATGCAACCATGGAAAACCCAGAATCATTGGATGGATATCTTGTTTTAGTACATGACAACTTGGTAGTGCTCATCCACAATATTACCGAGGATCGAATCCAGGACTTTTAGTGAGAGATCACAACAAATGGAGTCCTAGAATATCGGCCGTGAGACAAATATCACCAGTGACAACAGATTGTGGTGGCACCAATTTGTAACGTGGCTGAAGTTAGGGATGAAAAACACTTATTACCAATTCAGTAATCTGAAGGTTTAGCGCTTGTCGTGAGACCTGAAGGTCTTAGGTTCGATAGCTGGGGAGTGTATGGAATCGCACGGCCAATATGGAATTCTACATTAGGACGAAAAAATTTTATGCCAGCTGATTTCTAATGGTTGTCTAACTGAAATCAGTTCATGATGTAAGCCGTAAAATTTAACAAGGCCTACCGACCGATTGTAATAATTATTCATTTAAGTAGCGTATACATATTCGTATAATTCACGAAATCACATTTTATTTTGAATCGTCATTATTAATTGATAAAATCATCCATTTCGTAGTAATGTCTCTTACCTATATATCATAGTAAACCTTGCTTTCCTTCAGGGGGGGATACTCTTGAATTTAAGGGATATGAAGACAATTTGGATGCAATTATTTTTACCATGAATTGTACCAAATAGTTAGCATAAATTCTTAGACATTAACATTCACAATTGTTTTATATAAGACAAAATAAACCATGGATACGCAAGCTGGCTGGAACATTGAGAGAAATCGAACGAATTACACAGTGTCTCATGGCTGCTAGGTAAGATCCAAATGTGGTTGATCTATGTTGAATATATGTAAAAGTTACTGTCTGACACATCCCTATTTAATTTGATCAACCATAAATATGGATGAATTACAGAAACTGTATTGGCCCCCAAATGCCCTGGTACGGCCGAGAGTGGGGAGAGTCCGCTCTCCCTCTCGAAATACTCTCACATAGCCATGCGTATATAGCCTCTGCCAGGGAAGTCCTACTCACTGCATTCTCGTGGCGGGGGTGTTGTTTATAAAAATGAGAGGACGAAAAGCGAATGTCCGGCGCTTTAACCGGACCCCAAACCAATGGTGCACATGGGCTCCAGTATCCTGCGGGAACAAATGGCGTATGAACCAATCGTTGGTCACCGGCTACCATGGGACTGCATCTCCTCACGATGCTCCACTGCCTTGTGGGTCAGACGCTCAGGTCAAAGGCTCGGGGTGTGGTCCCCTAAGAAAACCACCTGCTTCGGTTTGGGCACCCGGGCAGTATCACCGCCCTCACACAAATCAATTGAGATTTGTGTGGCGCATATGTATTTGGTAACTCCGCCTGTAGCTCTTCCAGAGTTACTGCCGGTCCCAAGCCCGGGTAAAGGAGGAGGGTTGGGCATGGGGTTAGCGTCCCTATCCCGTAGAAACCTAACGCTAAAAAACGCTAACCAGAAAAAATAACTCAAACCATTTAAACCCTGCCCTGGGAGTTAGAGGTAATATGACGCTTCATGGTGAAAGCCGAGTTCCTTCGGAAGCCACGAGGCCGATGCCCCTTCTAACAACCAAAGCAACAATTTTTATAGGTACATGGAACGTCCGGACAATGTGGGAGACCGGGAAGACCAGTCAAATAGCAACGGAAATGAGGAGATACAACTTGGCAGTACTGGGAATCAGTGAAACCCATTGGACCCAAGCTGGACAACAAAGGCTAAATACGGGAGAGATGCTGCTATACTCCGGTCACGAAGAGGAAAATGCTCCACACACTCAGGGAGTTGCTCTAATGCTATCCAAAGTAGCACGAAATGCACTTGTAGGATGGGAATCTCACGGATCCAGAATCATCAAAGCATCATTCAAAACAAAGAAGGAGGGTATCACAATGAACATTATCCAATGTTATGCACCTACCAATGATAGCAACGACGACGTTAAGGATCAATTCTATGAGAGGCTGCAATCAGTCATAGAGAAGTGCCCAAGAAAGGACCTCACCATTCTGATGGGAGATCTAAACGCCAAAGTCGGAATGGACAACACCGGATATGAAGACATCATGGGACTGCATGGACTGGGAGAGAGAAACGAAAACGGGGAAAGATTTGCAAATCTGTGTGCATTCAATAAATTGGTCATAGGCGGTACAACATTTCCACACAAACGTATACACAAAGCTACGTGGATCTCACCGGACCACACCACAGAGAACCAGATAGATCACATTTGCATCAATAAAAAGTTCCGAAGGACAATGGAAGATGTGAAAACCAGGAGAGGAGCGGACATAGCTTCAGATCATCACCTAGTTGTGGCCAAATTGAAACTGAAGCTAAAGAAGAACTGGACAACTGGACAAACAGCACCACAAAGGTTCAATACAGACTTCCTTCGAGATACTGACAAACTCAATGAATTCAAGGTAGCTCTCAACAACAGGTTCCAAGCCTTACAGGACCTACTGAAGGAAGAAGAAACTACTATGGAGGATAGCTGGAAAGGTATCAAAGAAACATTAACTTCAACGTGTCAAGAGGTTCTGGGCCCCAAGAAACATCATCACAAGGAATGGATCTCTACAGAAACACTGGACAGGATCAAAGAAAGAAAGAACAAGAAGACAGCAATTAACAACAGTCGAACAAGAGCAGAGAAAGTCCAAGCACAAGCAGAGTACATAGAAGCAAACAAGAAAGTGAAGAAGAGCATTAGAGCTGATAAGCAAAAATACGTGGAAGAACTAGCAACGGCGGCGGAAAAAGCTGCAAGAGAAGGAAATATGAGACAGCTTTACGATACGAAGAAGAAGCTTGCAGGGAAATACAGTAAACCAGAGAGACCAGTCAAAGACAAAGAAGGAAGACCAATCACTGAGATTCAACAACAGCGCAACAGATGGGCAGAGTACTTCGAGGAACTCCTGAACAGACCGGCTCCAATGAATCCACCGGACATCGAAGCAGCACACAGATCTTCCTATAAATGTCAATCCACCAACGACAGAAGAAATCAGAATGGCCGTCAGACAAATCAAGAGCGGGAAAGCAGCAAGACCTGACAATATACCAGCTGAAGCGTTGAAGTCAGACATCGAAGTAACTACAAGCATGCTTCATCTTCTATTCAAGAAGATTTGGGAGGACGAACAAGTGCCGATGGATTGGAAAGAAGGACACCTCATCAAGATTCCAAAGAAAGGAGATCTGAGCAAGTGTGAAAACTACAGAGGCATTACACTACTGTCAATACCGGGTAAAGTCTTCAACAGAGTGTTACTGAACAGGATGAAAGACGCAGTAGACGCTCAACTTCGAGATCAACAAGCTGGATTCCGTAAGGACCGGCCGTGCACAGACCAGATTGCGACACTACGGATCATCGTCGAACAATCAATTGAGTGGAACTCGTCACTCTACATCAACTTCATTGATTATGAGAAGGCATTTGACAGTGTAGATAGGAGGACGTTATGGAAACTTCTTCGACACTACGGAGTTCCTGAGAAGATTGTCAACATTATCCGGAACTCATACGACGGACTACAGTGCAAAGTAGTGCATGGAGGACAGCTGACAGACGCATTCCAAGTAAGGACCGGAGTAAGACAAGGCTGTCTACTCTCTCCCTTCCTGTTTCTTCTGGTGGTCGACTGGATTA